TTCGCAAGCACAAGGACCAGAGTTAGATCCCCAGTACGAAAAAAAAAAAAATACTAGACAACACTTTTTTTTCCCAATTTTTCTTTTTCTTTAAACAATCACTTTTGTTCTTTAACTTAACATTTATTTTCAGAACCAGGGCTCAAACTCAGGACCTTGCCCTTGCAATGCAGGTGTGGCACCATTCAGCTAAATCCCTGTCCTTGTCCCTTAACATTTCTCCTCAGCTATGCTTTCAGATTTTTACCTGCTGGAGTTCAGCAAGGATCACAGATTTCAAGCTAGGGTATGCAGGCGCAAATAGTACAAAGGAAAACAGTTTACAGATCTTTCAACTTCCGGTGTACTTAAAAGAATTTGTTTTCAGTCCAGTTTAACACTCCTTTAGCAAATCTTGGTAACTTCCCCAAAATTGAGAAAGTAGCTTGTTTTATTTTTTTTTATTTTTGTTTTTAGACAGGGTCTCTATGTAGTAGAACCATACATATATATGTGTATATATGTATAACATATATAGTTCAGGCTGTCCTTGAACTCACTCTGTGGCCAATGCTGGCACTGAACTCAGGAAGATCCTCCTGCCTCAGCTGCCTGAGTGCTGGGATTACAGGTGTGCACCACCACACCTTGCTGGGACTTTTATTACTTTTGGTTAATGATTATGTGAATTTTGGTGTGAAAATGTTTTTAAAAGTTTGAGACACTGGTATAGCAAAATCCCTTCCATTTGCATCTTCATATTTATGCTGAAATATCTCAACTGACTCCTATGAAAAAACCAACATTATCTTTTGACCATAAATACACTAGAATAAAGTTCTGTGGAAGGGAGAAAAAGCAATGAAAATTATCCATCTCTTCACTAGGTTATTCACATATTTTAAAGTAAATGCCCTGCCTGCTTTGCAAGCGCAAGGTCCCGAGTTTGATCCTCAGTACCAAAAAACTAAAACTTAAAAAAAAAAAAGTAAGTATTGATGGGTACCAAGTCGTCACTACTTTTAAAAGCAACAACATCGTTAAATGCCAGCATTTATGATACTTTGAGTATTACATATTTTGCTACTACTTATGATGAACATTTAATTTTTAACTAAAAAGTGCGATTTGGTATACAGTTTTTAATAAACCTTTTGAGAAGTATGCAGGTATACCACTACTTCCAGGTTGTAAAGTACATTAGCACACCAACAGGAATGTTTTTAAGTACATAAAACTACAAAACTAAACGGCAACACCACAGGTGTGCGGGGGGAGAGGGCTTGCAATACATTTTCAAGGAGTTGTTGACTTTAACAACACAGGCTACTTTTCTTCATTTGTATAAGGACGTCAATGCTCTAGTTCGCGGGCCAGACGGTCCACAATGCTAGCGACCACTGCAGAGTTAAAAAAAATATTGTCTCATGGAATTCTGGGCCTGCAGCCCCTAAGCACATCGCTTCTCCTGAGCATGGGCGAGTCCGCCCGGGAGACAGGTGGCCAGGCTGCAGAGAAGGGACTGGACAGCCCCGCAGCAGAACCAGCCAGCCAGTATCTCGGAACCCCTACCCTACCAGATGTGGATGCGTGGTCTCTGGTGGGAACCCGGTTCCGGGGTCCGGGCCCACAGTCACTGTCACAGCTTACCTGGTGCAGCAGGACAAGAGCTGGAGAGGATTCACGCAGCGCCTGCTAGGAGCGGCGCACCTCCCGGGGCTTTGTTGCACGAGGCTGTTGCGTCACTTCCGCTGAGCCTCTCACAGGCCCGCCCCTAACGCGGCCGTAACCCAGGGCAACGGCCCGCCCTCTGCTGTGCGTCGCTCTAGCCAGCCAGCCAGCCGGCCGGACCGAGCCGTTCCGGGGTCTTACACCCGACTCAGTCACGTATGAGGGTGTGAATGATCGCGTTCTGCTCCTGGAGCGGCGCCGCAGACCACTCCGCGTGCGGCACAAAGAGAGAGAGAGACCTTATCCTATTCTAAAGGAAGCGACTAACAGAGGCGAGGAAGCAAAAAACGGAGACAGTGAGTCCCTAGGCGGAAGCAGCAGGGGCCAGAGTCGGGAGGAGAACGTGTGAGTGGGGCAGTGGAAGGAGCCGTGTAGAGGGCGTGGCCCCGTGGGCGTGGTCGAGAGAGGAAAGGAGGGATCTTTGTGGCGCGGTAGGCGAGGCCGAAGGAAGGGGAGGAGCTAGGTGCAGAATGCAGCCTGGAGAAGGGGAGGAGCCTGGGGGAAGAGGTGGGACTTGTGAGAAAGGGGCGGTGCTACTAGTGGAAAGGGCGGAGACAGGTGTAAAAAAGGCTTTAGCAGAGGCAGGTGGAGTTTTGTGTTTGATGACTCGAACTTTCCTGTGTGCTGCAAGCTGTGAAGGGAAAGGGGGAGAGTTGGAGACATTGGAATAGAAATAACCAGTGGGACAGATGGTTGTACAAACCGCGCTCCTAGAAAGCATTCTGAGAACCATCATGGAGGCTGTGTCCTATAGTTAAAAGGCCCAGGCGATTAACATAGGAAGATAAGATTTATACTCTTGGCAACATGAACAGATTGTGCTAGTTGGGTGGTGCATATGCGTAACTTTGAGGCAGCGGTCACCCACCCCTTTACCCAGTGTGTCCCAAAACTATTTGTACGATTGAAGTCCCAATGGTGTTTTTCTGTAGAAGCTGTTACCAGAAATCAGTATTTGCAAGCCAACTTCAAGACCTATTCAACCGCTTCCTATGTGTGAAGTTTAGCTCCGTATTAACAAACATAACTCCCCCACGGCTAGCATAGTTTCTGTGTATTTATTTCTTCATTCAACACAGGGTCATAGGAACCTGACTTTCTCTGGCTGAAATTCTGACAATAGATTGAAGAAGATTCTTTTAAACCTGCAGTATCTGGAAGAAGAAGTGTAGAGCTAATGAGAAGTTAGGGTAAGGTAATAAGGAGTTTTAAGGAATTATAGCCCAGTTTTGACTTAAATACTCCAGATTTTGCCTCTTTATCCATTAACATTCTCCCCACCATTTTTAATACAAACAAACAAGACATGGATATAGAATGAAGTAGACAGATTTTTGATCATGTGAAAAAATTTTAAAATTATAGTCAGTCTTAATCTTGGTGTTAATTGAGATTGGGATATAGCTTTTCAAAAATATAACAATATTTAGACAGGTGTGGTAGCGCACGCCTGTAATCCCAGCACTTGGGAGGCTGAGGCAGAAGGATCCTGTGAGTTCAAGACCAGCCTGGGCTACATAGTGAGCTCGTCTCAACTACGTAGTGAGACCCTGTCTCAAAAAACAAATAAAAAACATAATTTTTGGGGGGTTATCAGGGATTGAAATTGGGCCCTGTGCGAGGCAGGCAGCAGAACCACTGAGCCAAGCCCTGGTGGCCCTGTTGCTGTATTCTTAAATTGGTACTTTAGCAATCTTTATTCAATCAATGGATGTAGGTTTCAGATGGACATGAGTCAAGTTTCAAAATAGACACTTGTATTAGGTCCACATAGGAAGTAGTACCCTCAGTTCCAGGTATGACACTGTAAGACATTGATAAGCAGTTGTATGTCCTTAAGGTGATGAAGAATTTGAGATCTGTGTCTAAAGAAATGGTAGCTGTCTTCAGTTTTTTGTTTTGTTTTGTGACAGGGCCTTGCTGTGTAGCCCAGGCTTGAATTGAACTCACAGAGACCCTCCTGCCTAAACCTCCCAAATTCTGAGATTATAGGCGTGCATCACCAGGCCCAGCTCCAGAAAACTCTTCTTAGTTCTTTTAGCTTTATCTGGGCTGCTTTATAGGAATCTGACCCATGATTATGGAGTTGAGGGGTCAGCCGGAGTTTGAGCAGAACTTCTGTACAGAATTTAGGGATACTTCGGTCTTCTGGCTCTTTCCGTACCAACATTTCCCTCATTTTCCTTTCTATCTGCTTTAGTTGTCCTGAACTCTCACTGACCTTTGGATCTTGAAGCCAATTCCTGGCTTGAAGAACTAAAACAGGAAGCTGTAGAAAATGTCAGACAAACTCTGCCCTCTCTCCCCAAGTCTAGACACCCTCCAGTATCTGCTTGTTTGGGGATGCTCTCTAGGACGTTTGGGGAGTTGTTTTCATTATGTTTTGGAAGGGTGGTCCACTAGAAGCTTCCTCCTTTACCACAGCCCCTCCTTTCTTTCCAGTTTTCCTCTGTCTTGCATTTTCCGCTTTAGTGCCAGCTGCTCCCCCTGATAGTCTATAAATGGCCCCTTCTGGTTGAGAAATCATTTAAATAGCGCCTAGAAATATATATTTTTTCTTTTGTGACTAGCAGGACAAGAAAGTTTGTTTTTCCTGTCAGTACACACACACACACACACACACACACACTCACAAACCTATAATTCATTTTGATTGAGCCAACTCATATTACAAGCCTATTTGTGAAGTGTTTCTTTCTACTGAGGTTAAAGTCACATAACATAAAAGTCATTACCATTTTTAAAGTGCACCATTCATATTCATTGGTGGTTTGAGGAATACTCACAACTGTCTAACTCCAGCGCATTTCCATCACCCCAAAAAGAAGCCCCATTCTTTCCAGTTCTCCACTCAATCTTTCTGTCTCTACACATTTACCAGATCCTCGATATTTTTATATAAATAGATCGATGCAATATGTGGCCTTTTGTGTCTGGCTTCTTTCACTGTGACGTTCATCACGTCACAGCAGGTGTCAGAACATCATTGCTTTTCTTTCTCCCCCTTTGGTACCAGGGATCGAACTCAGGACCTTATATTTGCCAGGCAGATGTGGTGATGCTGAGCCAGCCCCCTCATTGCTTTTTTTTTTTTTTCTTTTTGGTACTGGGGATTGAACTCCGGACCTTGCGCTCATGAGGCAGGCAGGGGAATCACTGAGCTAAATCCCAGCCCTCCCCTCACTGCTTTTTATGGCTGAGTAATTAATTGAGCTATGTCACATTTTATTTATCCATCCATATATTGACAGGCATTTGGGTTGTTCCCACTTTTGGCTATTAAGAATAATGGGGCACGCCTGTAATCCCAGCTCTGGGGAGTCTGAGGCAGGAGGACTGCCATGAGTTGAATTGAGGCCAGCCTAGGCTACACAGTAAGACCATGTGTCAAGAAACAAAAAAACTGCCGGGCGTGGTGGCGCACGCCTATAATCCCAGCACTTGGGAGGCTGAGGCAGGAGGATGGCTGTGAGTTTGAGACGAGCCTGGACTACATAGTGAGTTCCAGGTCAGTCTCAACTACATAGTGAGACTACAAAACAAAACAAAACAAAACAACAAACAAATACAAACCCCCTAAACTCAATCCACTCTTCACATTGCAGGAAGAAGATATTAAAAATTATAAGCAACCATCCCAGTAATGGATCTCTGTCAGGAAAGTGAGTCTGATTCAGAAAATAGTGAAATTCAAAGCCCAGAAGAAACTGAAATAACCTTTACTTGTGTGGATGAAAGAAGTGAAAAGAATCATGTTGACTGTCTTCTTGACATCAGTGACCTTACGCTGGAAGAAGATGCTGGAGCAGATGAGTTTGTAATTGGCACTGGCTGGGAAGAAGCTGTGAGTGTCTCCTTGACTTGGGTCTCTTTCACCTCAGTGTTGTTGTAAACATTTCTCCCTCAGAATAGCTAATATTACTAAAAAAGTCCAGTTGGTGAAATACAGGGTCCTTGGAACAGAGGTAAAATAGCACTGGAGACAGTAACAGTGTCACTGGGTATCTTTGGCCACTCAGAATGTGGGCAGCTTTGTGCCCAAATTCTGTCAGAAAGGTGACACTGATTTAGAAAATAACAAAATATTTCTGGGGAAGCTAGCACACACCTGTAACTCCAGCACTTGGGAAGCTGAGGCAGGAGGATCGCTGTGAATTCAAGGCCAGCCTGGACTACTTAGCAAGCTCCTGTGTCAAAAAACCAAAACCGAAACACAAGAACATGATGAAATGTACACATGCATTTACTTACCCACTCAGGATTCAGGTCAGGGCTCCCTCTTTGTGTGAGGACACCAAGGCCGAAGGTGAGCTAACAGCCAAAGATCACCCAGCCAGGAGGTGGGTGGAGCGGGGCTTGCATCCCGGGCTCCTAGACCCAGAACCTGGGCTGCTTCCTCTTGTGCCAGACTCCTCCAGACCTTGAGACCCTCGAGGTCTCTGTCTTTGTGGTGGGTTTATTCTTCAAGAACTCTTAGCATCAAGGAAGGAACCCTAAGTTTAAGACAGTAAGGCACCTCAGGCAAATCCATAATTCAATGTGAGTTGCCAGATTGTCACTGAAAACAAGGATAAATTCAATATTCAGATAATACTTTATTGAATATTAAATATGTTGCAAATATGTGTTTTCACCTGGCAGCCCTACTTTAGCAGTGACCTCTTTAGCTCCATCAGCCAAGGGAGCACATGTATGAAGGGCACCTGGGCCTGGTGCTCACAGCGCCCTGTACCTGCTCACTGCTGTCCCTCCAGCATCTGTAGGCAACAGCAAACAGCCTAGCAGTGCAAGAAGCCCTTGGGGGTAGCACAGGAAGGAACACTTTTGGTTTTATTTTAGTATATTGCTATTGAAATGAACATTTTATTTAATTTTAATAATGCTAAATGTAATGTGCAGCTATACTCAGCCCATCAAAGTGGCCATTTACAAACACTACTGTTCAGGCTGGTCTTGAACTCTGTAGCCCAAACTGTCCTCGAACTCGCTGTGATCCTCCTGCCTCAGCCTCCTGAGTGCTGGCATTACAGAGGTGCACCACTACAACCAGTTCTAAAAGATTTTTTAAAAGATGAGTTGAAGGGCCAGGGATTTATTTAGCTCAGTGATTCTGCCTCCTGCCTTGCAGGTGTAATGTCCCGAGTTTGATCCTGGTACCAAAAGATGAGTTGATTTTAAGAAAAATGTCAGTTCCCAATATAGGCAGCCCAAATGGGAATGTGGCCAAAGCTAGGTCAACTAGAGCAGCTCTACCAGAGTCATACGTTGCTTTATTTTCAGGTCCAAGGCTGGGGAAAGACTTCTCCCACTGCCTGTGTCTGGCCCAGGAAGAAACTGAAGAAGGCACGGGGCAGCAACACCACCAGCAACCTCTGCTTGCTCTGTGCCAGCCTCTCGGAGGCCAGGCCTCCCACCAAGCCCAGGAAGGTGGAGGCTGAGGCCGGGTCCATGGCAGAGGTTGACCTGGAGGGGAATCGGGACTCCCAGGGTCCCAGCACAGGTCCCAGGGAGGCCAGTAGAGTCTGTTTTCCTCCTGACGTCCCCCAAGGAAAAAAAAGCCTGCGAATCAAGGAGTTCATCTGGTGCCTGGAGGACTGGGCCGTCCCGGGGGTGAGAGGCGAGCCTGTCTCCGGGTCCCTAAGCAACAAGGACCTCCTGGTTCTGCCGCCCCTGAGAGCCTCACCCCAGAGCCGCCCCTCCGCTCCGAGTAGCAAGAGTAAGACCTTTTTCTGTCAGTCGGAAGAGGAGGCGCCTAGTGTGGACAAGGAGGAGAGCGAGGATGTGAACGGGGAGCTGGGACCCTCGGAGCTGGCCAGGCACCATCTGCTCAGTGACGCCTTGCCTGGCCCTGACCCCGCCTGTCCCCTGCTGGCTGATGCAGAGCATCAGTACTGCCCGGGCTGGTCCCTGCTGCCCCAGAGGAGACCCGCGGGCCCTGCACACCCGGGCGCCCTCCCCTACCTCACCACCTTGCAGCTCCTGCAGAAACGCGGCTTGCAGAGCTACAGAGCCAGACTCAAAGCCAGGGGTCTGGGGCCGCCCAGGAACTCCCAAAAGCGAGCCTTCACAGAGGGCAAACATGAGCACCGGCCCGCGGTGCTGGAGGCCGACGGCCTCCCGCCGTCTCTCCTGCCAGCCCTCACGGTGAGCAGAGTGGCCATCCCTATCTCCACGCACAGGGTGCTCTGACTGTGACAACAGAGTTCCCCGAGGAGCTGCTGGCTCTGTGTCCTTTCTCTTCTCTCCTCTCTCGCCCCCGTACTGTGTCCTCTCCACATCCCACCCTTTCATAAAGCAGTACAACTAGAAATTCAGCCTCGGAGGATGGGTTTGGATTTAGTGTAAAACACCATATTCATGGTACCCACGTCTGCAGCTCAGCCATTTGCAAACTGCAAATGCAATGCCAGCCAGGCCTCTGCCTGCCTCACCTGTCCATGCCCAGCAGAGGCTCTGGGGAAGGTGACCAAGGTCCTCCCAACTGACAGCGGCTCTCTGTCCCCAGGTGGCTAAGATCAAAGTGCTGCCTGGGCTTCTGAACCAGGCAGTATCTGTCTGCTGCCTCATTCACTCTTGCAGCAAAGATTGGAAACATCACTTTAATAGAAAATTCTAGCTCGTGTCTGCCGAGCGTCCTGTTGTCCAGTGTCACTCTTTTGTATCATGTTCAGGGATGTGCACTGGGCGTTGTCACTTCTCTGTCCTGGGTGTCATATCCTCCTGTGGATCGTCCTGTGCCTGGAAGTTTTAACCACAGTTTTACAGAATCCAGCCTGGGAGGGAGGTTAAGAATAATTAATCATTTGGAAAAGAGAAAGAAAACCCCACCTGCGGCTTCTACCACTTCTGTCCACTGAGTAGTTAGTTGGGAACCCTCGGCCCCAGTCACTTAGTTCTGCCCAACTTCTGCCCTCATTTTATTTTATCCCCATGCCTATTCCTTGAAGTTGAATACAAATTAAACATTGTAAATAAGTTACATTTTTAATGCCAAGTGATGCGATGTCGACAGATTCTGTATCAAACTGTTTTGTAACCTGCATACCCTGAAGCTCCTCTGTAATTAGACTTTAAATGGCCTAAGGTAGTTTGGCAGCTCTGGACTGTCTCCTATGGGAAGAAGTGGACTGAATACCACTGCACTTGCAAACATTGCTTTTCATACCTGGTCTTTGTAATATCTGTAGCCTGGGTATTTATTGATTGTAATTTTGGGGGTCAAACACACTGCCTTGTGCAAGCTGGGCAAGTGCTGTGCCCCTGAGCTATACCCCCAGCCCTTGTTGTTTGTTTGTTTTCTGGTACCAGGCAATCGAACTCAGGACTTTGCGCTTCCGAGGCAGGTGCGGTACCACTGAGCTAAATCCCTGGCCCCCTCTTGTTGGTTGGTTTGAAGAAAACTAACCCATCAGGCATTATGGGGTTTGGCTTGGCTTGGGGAGAATGTAGAGGAGCCAAACCTGGCTGAGATAATCACCCTAAAGTAGGAAGAGGCCACTAACGCCTATGTTGCGCTTAAGTCTTAAAATGCAGGGTCTCCCCAAGATGGCCCCAAGTGCCAGGGGGACACTGCCTCCTACTCAACACATGTAATCCCAGCACTCGGGAGGCTGAAGCAGGAGGATTGCTGGGAATTCCAGACCAGCCTGGGCTACATAGTGAGTTCCAGGTCAGACTCAACTACATAGTGAGACCCTGTCTCAAAAAACCAAAAACAAAAAGAAAAACCCTAAGGTGTAGTCCTTAGGTACATCCAAATTAGAAATAGTATCTCTTTCGGGAAAATTGTTAGCATATTTTCATGAACACATGCAAAACGATGAAAATAATAGCAACAATCATTTTATCACGTGACTTTCAGAAAACAACTTAGAAAAAGTTAAGGCAACAAAATAAGTCACATCACGAACAGGTCAAAGAAGTCACACAAAAAGGTAGAATACTAGTGTCTGTTTAATCACTGGATTTCAGTTTTTACAAACAATCTTAAGACAATTCAGCTGACTAGAGTTTTGGGGGGATACAGTTCTTGCACACAAAGAACAATTACATGCTCCATTTTTCTGTAAATAACTCTATTGGCTGGACTAACACATTTCACAGACACACACAAAAATGTTTAAAGCCATGGATCACTGCATTTATATTTACAAAAAGCCAAAAACAAACATGCATTCCTCCTTTATCAGGATGACTTCAATAGATGTCTGAACGTTAAGGCAGTGACAATTCTAAAACAATGACAAGCTAAGTTAAGGCTTTATGTTTGAAACTCATATTCATAGGCAACTGCAGCGCACTTGTCTAACAGGCTGAATTCACGCATCCGCCCGGCTGTTACTGACCCATTCATCACCAGCTCTTTCGTATCAAATGGATGGTATGAGCAGGAGCAGCAATGCCATCGATTTGCTTTAATGAATCACTACTCCACCTCTTCAGTTTTGAGGATTTAGCTTTTGGCAGCAAATGCGCGAGCCACAGAAAGAACAGAGCATTCTGGGATAAACTTAAGAGATCTCACAAGCTGCCCTGATTCTTACTTTCCTGAAAGCCAGGAGACAACTGTCAGGACCTATGGACACAAAGAACCGGCAAAGCAAAGCATACCTGACTGTGATCTTGGCTCAAAACACAACACGTTCGTGAAGCAATAGGTTTCCACCTTCTGTTTGCTTTGAAGACTATGTCACTCTTTAAATAAAGCAACAATAAGCAGAATACTGTATTTTGGATGGATCTATTGTATAACTGTTAGCCTCAAGGCACAAAATATATCTTTGACCCATGTGTTTCTTTATTCAAGGAAAGGATGAGCAGTGGATGGGAGGAAAAGCCACTTTAAAATAATCATAGATTGCACCCTTGTCCCGTAAAGCTCAGAAGTGCGAAGTAGTGAAATCTGGGTATGGGGGGGCCATGTCCTTTTCTGCTCTTTTTCAGTATCAGGAGGGACAACACTCAAAGGCAGCCGGTGGGCACACTGCGGATGGGAAGCGGCTCTGGAGCCCACGCTGGCCTGTCTGGAGAGCAGGTGTGTTGTGGACATGGTGACATGGGACGTGCATTTGCTCCTCCTCTGCGGCACCCACATTCGAAGATCCTTGTGATGTCTGGAGTAAGTGTCGCGTCTGCTGTTGCTGCATGACAGTGTGGTCACTGGAGGCTGGCGGTCCCTAGGTAGCTTCCTGATGGACTGGGCACAAGGGAGACCCAGCACGGTTAGAGGGCTGGCTGTTTTCACTTTACTTCCCTTCCCACCAGCCTTTGGGGAGGGGAAAGGGACTGCAGGTGAAGTTGATCAGCAAGGCCAAGAATGTCATCAACTACACCCGGGTAACGTGAGAACTGGATTCCAGGAGCTTCCTACAGCTGAGCCTGGGGGTCCCGCGGGTGGTGCTCTTCCAGGATGTGGAAGCTCTGTCCCCTTCCCACACTTCACCCCGACATCCCTTCATCTGGATCCTCTCCAATACCTTGGCGCATGTTTCCCTGAGTTCTGTGAGCTGCTTTAGCGAATTAATGGAACTCAAGGATAGAGTGACGGTAACTCCAACTTCCGGCTGGCTGCTAGACATTCTGGAGGCCTGGACAGCAGCGGGGGTCAGAAATGGATGGCACTGGGGTCACCCAGCTGGGGCCTGCTGCAGGACAGCTTGCTGGGTGGGGGAACCCAAACTGCTGGTCCTCGATGTCTTCCGGATGGACGGTGGCTGGAGAGCAGAGGGAGGTGTTTTGCTCTTAAAACAGCACAATTCTGTCACCGACGACAGGGTTGGGATTCCTTGCTCTTGCTTAGAGCCTGGGTATTTATTCTAAGTGCTGGCTGCTCCGTCTCTAGGCAGTAATTCCATAGCAACAACCCTCGGGTGAGGGAGGACTGTCCCTGGCATCAGTGACAGCCCATGAGAGGGCACAGCGGTGACTTCAAGAAAACCTTTGCAAAATCTACACACATGGCTGTGGTTTCCTCCGGTGTTGGAACAGAGCAGGTGGGAAGAGATGGCAAAGCGGAAGCAAGGGCAGCGGCAGCGTCTCCAATCACAGAAGCGTGTGTGCAGCGTGTCAGGGGCGGTCTGCGTCTGCACCCCAGCTCCCGGTCAGCCTGGCTTCGGCCCAATGGCTCGAAGTGTCCGACACGGGATGGGAAGACCAGCTGTGAAAGCGCAGATGTAGGCAACACGAAAACATTTTCAGATCAACATCTTACACTTTATAATACACTCACATTTATACACAAATTGCGCATTTGTTTACAAGTACAAAAGGCAAAGAATCGCAAAGAACCTAAGCAACTGTGTCATGGACTACATCCAACAGACTTAATACTGTCATCCCTGTAACCCGTTTTCTTAAACTCTGGGAGGGAATGGAAAACGCCACCCACATTGGCCTAATCCGTTAGAAGTTGTGCAGCTCAGCACACGTCTGGGTTTCTACGGAGCTGAACTGAGACTCCATGGTGTTCCAGGCCAAATCTGCCAGCAGGAAGTCGTCCATGGCTGTCTGCGTCTCGTTGCTGGTGAAGAACAAGCTCCCCAGGGCCTCCAGGCCCGACCTGGCGGTCTGCGTCTCGGCACTGTTCAGCTGCACCTTGCTCTCCAGAGCGGGGACATTTCGGGCTGAGGAGAGCCCCTCGGTCTGGGTCTCAGTGTCGGACGAGTCGGTACTCATGGAGAAGCTGGAGTGTTTCAGGATGCTGCCGAGGGGCAGGTGAGGGCTGCTGTCTAAGAAGAAGTTTAAGTCCGTCTGGGTCTGTGTGTCGAACATCTCCAGCCCCAGGAAGTGAGTGCCGCCCCTGCACCCATAGGGTGGGGCGGACGGATCTGCCAGCAAGAAGTCCGTCTGGGTCTCGATGTCCAGCGACTCCAGGACCGGCTCCGTGGTCATGGCGCCGAGTCCGCTCTCTTCAGTCTGTGTCTGGATGTTGGAGGCGGAGAAGAACTCTTCAATATCAAAGTCGATGCTGGGGTTCTGGGGGGTGCCAGAGGGGAGCTGAGTGTCAGCGGCGGGACTGGCGTCAGACAAAAGAGCTCGGCTGTCCAACGCCTGACCGGGCAGATTGCTTGACAAGATGTTTTCTAAGTCGCTCAGCAGATCTATAGTTTGGGTCTGGTTATCTGTCATGTTCTGTGAGGGGAGCATACTGTTCTGGGCACTGAAATTTAAGATGGGTGCGGATTTCTCAATATCTTCACTTAAAGCTTTAGGGTCGTCCTGAGGTAACAAACCGTGGGTGACGGTCTCTACTCCTAAACCGCTGTTTATAATATTATCCGTGGGGACACTGTAGGAGGAGTGGACGCTCTCGAAAATGTCCCCACACATCCCGGCTTGGTCCATCTGCATCTGGGTGTCTGGGGGTCCCGGAACCCCGCAGGTCTGCGTCTCCCTGGAGACCCCACCTGGCTGGAGACAGGGGTCGAAAGCATCCGTCTGAGCAGCGATGGACGACACCGCTTTGGAGCTGGGCAGCAGCGTCTGAGTATGAACATTAATGGGAAGGGACACTTGGGAATCAAACGACAGGTCGGTTTGAGAGCAAGACGACACGGAGGAGTCAGGACCAACCCACAGGGCAGAGGGGACCAAGTGTGGCGAGGCACAGGACAGATCGGTCTGCACGTTGATGGATGAAATGCCGTTCCTCTGACACGGGCTCCCTAGCGCTTGGGAAGGACTGGACAGGCCCTTCCCCAAGTTCACCTGAACACCCGTACTAACCGGCTCAACACCAGGATTGCTACCTTTGGACAGAGGCAGGCTGTCCTTCAGGGAGCACGCCTCGGAATCCAGGCCGAGGATCAGCGCCCCCACAGACAGGGGCACCAGGTGCACGGCGCCGGCTGCAGAGCCCTGATCCACGCCCAACACCACGGGCTGGGCTGCAGAGTCGGCTGTAGGCACGAACACCGGCATAGGCGACAGCTGCATGACCGGAAGCTTCACCAGAGCCACCCTGGGCTTTGGCAGGAGCAGCTTCTGAGGGTATCTGGGAGGTGGGACGATGCTCTGCCTCCGGGAGCCACGGGAGTCCTCAAGCGAGTGTATGAGTTTCATTTCTGAAGTCTCCAGTTCCTGGGCTTCTGGCCTAGGGTCTGGTTGGCTGTTGAAGGATTCGATGGGCTTTGTGGACAACTTCTGGTTTTGTAGGTAGTTTTCCATTTTCCTTTTTTTACTAGGTGGGTCCCTGAAAACAACGACAGCAATTTAAAGCACGGCTTTCTTTGACCTCGCTGCCTCTCACATCAGAGGTCGGTCTCAGCCAGAGACAGGCACCTCCCTTCCGGCAACCCTGGGGACCGGGCTGTCACATCAGGTAGGTGTTCAGAGGAGGTGCAACCAGGGAAGGAGGAACATTTCTCCTTTTAAGGCTGCAAGTATTAAGCATGAGGGAGCTGCGGTGACAAATCTAAGCTGGACCTTTAAAATGAAGTATAGATACACGATGAAACCTACTCTTTAGCCATCTGACAGTCCTCAAAAGATACCTGGAGCTGGGATTTTCCAGTGGGAATAGTAAGAGATCCTCACAGAGGGTGCACAGAAGGAAAAAGAGAGGTAGTGCCAGAGGTGGTGGCGCAGGCCTGCAGTCTGAGCCCTCGGGAAGCTGAGGCAGGGGAATCACGGATGGAGGCCAGCCTGGGTGGTGACACAGTGAGTTCAAGGCCAGCCACAGACTACAAGGTGAGACCCTGTCTCACGGGGAGGGCCTGGGCACACCGAACAAACAAAGTAAATGCAAAGGACGAACAACTGGGTGGAGGAGTCTAGGCCCAGACACGACTGCTGCCTTCTGGGAGCGGCTTCTGGACGCCGCCTCCACCTCCACCCCGGCCCGCGCAGCCGCCCTCACCTGTGCTCCGCCGGGATCTCGTGGCCGGTGCGGTAGATGTGCGACTGCAGCGCCGTCCTGCTGGCGTAGGGGCAGCCGCATGTGCACCGGAAGGGCTTGCCGGTCCTCCGCG